GTTAGGGGCAACGGGGCCAGCAGGGGAGGGAAGTTAGGGGTAATTGGGCCAGCAGGGGAACAGTTAGGCATTGATCAGGCTGGCAGGGGAGTGGTTAGGGGCAATCAGGCAGGCAGGCGAGCAGTTAGGAGCCAGAAGTCCTGGATCCACTGGGATTGGGCCTAAATCGGCAGTCGGACATCCCTCGAGGGGTCCCAGATTGGAGAAGGTGCAAGCTGGGCTGAGGGACACCCTTCCCCCCGCACCTGCACAAATTTTGTGCACCGGGCCTCTAGTTTCTTATTTAAAAAAATTGGTAACTCAGAATCCTCTAAAGGTCAATTTACATGGATGACACCTTTGGAGGGAGAGCAAAATGGGAGGATAGCCTGAGCAGAACCCTGAGGGAAAAGACCTGTCTCTGCTGTAACCTTCCTTCTGTCTTCTCTTTGCCCCAGCATTGCAATCACCCATTGAATACCAGAGACGGGAGAGCCAGACCAACAGCCTGGGGAGGCCAGGAGGGCCTGGGGTGGGAAGCCCTGGGAAAATGCGGCCTGGAGACCGGGCCCAGGTCAGCACACACAGGCCCATCAATGGCTCTCTTCCCTCCCTGCTGCTGTTACCCAAAGGGGAGGTGGCCAGAGGCCCCCTGCCCCTGGACACACAGGTATGAAGAATGACATTTCCTGGTAATAGGGGTAGAATGGGGAGGGTCTCTCTCGTTCAAGGATCCCCAACTCCTTCTCCCCAATATCATTCCTCTTCCACCACCTTCCTTCTATCTACTCCTTTCTACTTCCCATCTCTTACCCTCCTCCCTCTACTTTAATTGATGGGCTCAGGTAATCTAAGATGTCTGGCAAAAGGTGGCTTCACTAGGGGCTTACACTGAAAAGAGAGGAGTCGGGGTGGATTCCTGAACTTTTTTGATCCTCCAATTTAAGTCTTTCTTCAGGCCCTCAGTGAAATCCCCCAGATTCCTCATGACTCTCCTTCAGCTCCACCAATTTCAAACACCCCTCCCTGCCAGGCCAGACTTGCCAAGTTGGATGAAGATGAGCTGTAACTGGTAAAGACCATGGGGGTGGTGCTGACTCAGCTACTCTCTTCCCCAAGGAACTTCAGGGCAATCCTTCTGGCACTGCTCCAGAATTCCTCCCTCTTGGTGTGTCTGGAGGTGGGCAAGGCCGGGAGTGGTGTCAACTTGGAGGAGGGTACCTAAACTCAAAAGACTTCTTTCTGTCCTGGGAACACAGGTTCCTTCAGCTCCCACCCCCATGCATGCATCACAGGTCCCCCACAAAAGAAGGATATGTGGGTGGGTGGGAGGGCTAGGGCAAGGGCCAAAAAGAAAATATTGGTTTTGATTTTGTTTTTTTCTGTTTTCTGAGAATAAAGGTTTTCTTATATCATGGAGGCTACTGTCTTGGCAGAGGGAAGGGAAGGCTTTGGTAAGGGTAAGTGGGGTGAAGTCGTATGGAAGAGATCAGCTCACCTCTCAAATCAGTTTGAGCAGGGGTCTGGTGAAAGGAGAAGGGCACAGGCTATAAGATAAAGGACGTTGCTATCTCTCAGTCCAGGCTTGGGACTTGGGTCCACTGGAAACTCTAGATCCTTGATGAATCCTCCACTTTACCAAGCCCTTCTTTCTCTCTCATTTGGCCTCTGATCTAGACCCCAATGGAAAGCCCAATGTAATCTGATTTCCCTCTACTCCCCCAAAATCCAGACGCTAAAGTACCAAATGCCAATGTACCTTTCCTTCGGAGGCCTCCATGTTGAGCTGAGGTAGAAGGGGAAGGTGGAGAGGATGCTGGAGACCACGGCCCCTTCAGTCTCTGGGTCTTCTTATTTTTGCTGTCTGGGAGGTCATAAGGCATATCCACACTGAACAGGAATGGATTTCTCTTCAAGCCATAGACCCAAGATTGTAGAGGCCAAAAGGGTCTTCACCCCTCCCAACTTCTGGAACAGCTCCGGGGACAGAGAAAGCTAAACGTGCCGAGATCCATGTCCAGATTCCCTGTCCTGGGTCCTTGGTCATCGGTGTGCCACTGTCCCTTTGTCCCCTGAGCCTGGTCACGTGTACTTGGGCTTCCTCAGCAGACAATGGACTGCTAGGGTGGGGGTGGCGAGGAGGAGCTGGAGCCTCCCTGTGAGGCTGAGGTCCCTCTGTCTGACAATGGGGGGAGGGGCCTCAAGGGGGAGACAGGACGTACAGCCCAGATAAGACTTCAGGGGAACAATAGAAGGAATTGAAGAAGGGAGACCCACCCTCACTGTTCCCCACCCCTAGGACTTTGGGGTCAGGGACTAGGGACCAGAGGGTGATGGGGAGGGGTGCTAAGGATTCTTGTGAGTGGAGGAGGGGATGGGGCAGATAGGATTCTAGAGCTCAGAACCTCTGTATCTCGTTAGGGATCAATGGGGTACATGAGATGGGGTGGGTGGGTGACTCTTTTGTCCCTAATATAACCACAAATGTGCGTTTGAGTGCCTACTTTGTGACTTGCACTTGTATGTAATATATGGTGTTTCAGGTTTTTTGGCTTCTAAGAAATAAAATAAAAATTTCCTATCAGGCCCTAGCCGGTTTGGCTCACTGGATAGAGCAGTGGCCTGGGGACTGAAGGGTCCGGGTTCAATTCCAGTCAAGGGCATGTACCTTGGTTGCAGGCACATCCCCAGTGGGGGGTGTGCGGGAGGTGGCTGGTCGATGCTTCTCTCTCATTGATGTTTCTAGCTTTTTATCCCTCTCCCTTCCTCTCTGTAAAAAATCAATAATATATGAATATTTTTTTTAAAAATTTCCTATCAGTTCAGTATTCTTCCTGGGGTCCTGAACTGGGGATTTAGTCTCAGGCTGTCCTGGCAAAGATGTGGAGTGGTGGTTCTCTGTCATCACGTCTAACACATATATCTGCTTCCCATCTCAGTTGTTTGTGACTAGGGACCAGAGGGTGATGGGGAGGGGTGCTAAGGAGACCTCCTTACACTTTCTTGGGGACCACCTGAGCCCCAAGAGGCTTTGGGTTTGGGAAAAGAAGCTGGGGTCGGAACTGCTGCACTTTCTTGCTCCGGTGGGAATGCAGTGGCTCTAGGAATGAACCTAGGGGAGCCAGCTTCTGTCTTGGCCCAAAGTGTCGATTCCAAGGGAACTCAGTGAAGAGGTGAAGAGTGCAAAGGCTTCGGAGTGGTAGATAGTGGGGGTTAGTTGTTGAGGATGTGCCTGCCCTTTGGCTTCTCTCCCTGGTCCCTAAACCTTTGCACAGCCCTCTCCCATAGCAGACTCCAGGGCTTGCGACTGGGCCAAGGACATCTGAGGAAACGCCTAACAGAGAGACGCCCCCTCCCTAAGCTGCAGCTCTTGGGCTGGTAGAAGGGCGCCTCCAGGGCCGGATTGGGCCCTGCTTCAGGGAGGCGGGACTCAGGCTACCGGTGGAGGGGTATTTAAGACTGGGCGGAGTTGGAGGTGGCCAAGGGCAAAATGAGTGGGCTACTGGGCGCCAGGACCTGCTCAAGCCCAGGAGAGGCCTCCGACCTTAAGTTCCCACTGGGCGCCAAGCTCAGGGAACCTCTCACCCAGACGCGGTTCCAGCAGCTCTTCGGGGGCGCGGAGCAGGCACAGGAGCTACTCGCCGAGTCCCGCTGGTCCGGGCTGTGCCGACTGTGGAGGCGGCGGGCCCGCGCCTGTTCCGGGCCGGGGGCGTGGCGCCTGCTGCTGGCGCGGCTGCCCCCGCTGCGCTGGCTGCCTCAGTACCGCTGGAGGGCCTGGCTGCTGGGGGATGCGGTGGCTGGAGTGACCGTGGGCATCGTGCACGTGCCCCAGGGTGAGCGGCCCCAACACCAGCCTGTCAGAGGGCCGGGGAGACCCAGGGGGTGGGAACAACTCGGGAGCGAGGTGATGGGTCCGTGTGGTTGGGGGTTCGGAGACAAGTTCTGGGTAAGGACTGTGGAGCTCCACCAGAGCCCCACCCCCAGCTGCCCTCATCTGCGCAATCCTTCGAGAAGTCTGAGACGCGTTCCGGCTCAGGGAACTGGAGAGAAGAGAGGAGCACAAGGCCTGCCCCCCAGGTCTCCGCCGGGGTTCTGGATCTGTGACCCTGTCCACCCAGCGACTTCCCCCCAGGCCCGTTAACCCCTCCGTTCCCTCTTGTGGCAAGGTTTAGCGTCCCCTTGCCAGCCTCTAAGAGGGGAGAGGGGGCAGCATCCTGAAGCTGGGCGCCCTCCATCCCTCCGCCCCATCAGAAGG